GGGGGGGGGGGGGGCATCTGTAGAATGCGTACCCCGAGTGGGTGGTTGAATCGATTTCATTCTGCGAGTATTAGAAGCCATTGCGTAGCACTGTTTAGAAGATGGGAAACACGCAGCGCTCTCTCCTCCCCTTCCACCAGACAAGGCAAAACAAGACGAGACCCAACATGCCTGCTTCTGCCGTGCGACGTTCCGGGTGTACTGGTTGAACTTCTGCTGCTCGTTGGAGAGGTCGTCTATCCAGTTGCAGAGGAACTCTAGGTTCTTCTCGAGGTAGGGGTTAGTCGACAGGTCTAGCCGGTCGAAGTCGCAGTCCACGCGGTCCTCCTCCTGCCAGATTGAAAAAAGAAGAGAAAAAGCACCAGCTGTCATCACTGATAAAAGTTCCGTTTCAAGGCTTTCTTGAAGACTGAAAAAAAAGCCCAGTATCCAGCCGGGTTTTTTCCCACTCACTGCGAAGATATTACCATCCCTTTCGGCTGTGGTGTTGTCTCCAACGGTTGGTCTTCTGTGATTGTACTTCCAAGTATGTATATTTTCTACAAAAATAAAAAGAATAGATACGAGACGGAGGGGAGCGGACAAGTAACGAAACTTATCCCATCGGAGCCGGTAGATGCACCTGACTGAGCACGACAGTTACAGCAGAAGCCAACCGATACGATACAGCAGCGCTGGGGAGCGAAACCGCCGGTTTTTCTTCTGGTATATATAATGGGGCAGAAGCCCGGGCTATATCGACACATGTCAACAATCCCAAACGAATCGTACTTGAAGCAACTGTACGCGTGGAAACCCTGTATGTTCGCGGCGTGCGTGAGTCTGCGGATACGCCAACATGAGCAGTTTTACCCGCCACACGAGGGTACATACACATCCAAAGCGTGAAACACAGATGCCCGAACAACCACCACCACCATCCTTGACATCGACATCGATAACACGATCGAAACGCCCAAGAAAAATGAACGGTTACTACATCACGCCTCCCTTCCTCAATCACCAAACCCCACCTACGTACCTGGAGGTCGAAGATGAGGGCGTTGATGATGCCCGGGTTCCTGATCTTGATGGGCAGCTCCTCCAAGATCTCGGAAGGCTTGATGACCTCGTTCTTCTTCTCGCGGTAGACTCGCATGAACGCCTTCGACAGACGGTACGCCTTGATCGTCAGCTGCCCATTTGCCGTTTGCACCGGGTCGTACAGGATCACTACCGAGTTGTCGCTCAGGTTCTCCTGGAGGTCCTCAATCAGGATACGGCGAACACCAATAGATTGGCGGGAAGGTTTCGATTCCGACGGGGGGGGGGTCGGAGAACAAACACGGGATACGCACGTAGGGATAGAAACAGGGTAGGGTTCAGGGACGGCCGACTACAGGCGCAGCGTCTGGGAATCGTTTCTGCAAAAAAAAAAAAAAAACGCCACCGCGCGGGGGGGGGAGTTGCTCTGTGCACATGGTGTGCGGCATCTGGTGCTTTCGCACACAAACGCAAAAAAAATGGGCCGCGGGCCGCGTTCTGCCGCCAGCACCTAAAGTAAGGGTGCCACGTATTATTCCAAAACCACGGAGTTGAGTGTACTAAGAATACGGCTGTGCGCTCGCGCAAGAGAAGAAAGGAACTGACAAAAAATGAACACAGCCTGTTTTCGTATACTAGGACTTGACAACACGGTGCAGGCAGGGAGTGGGGGTAAATTTTTGACATTTCCCCGGGGTTTCCATTCAGACAAAAAGAGGCACCACACAGCTTGGGGGGAGAATACCACCCCGACAGCAGTGCATGCCCAACCGGGGACCGATGACTCTTTTGTCATGGTCATGAGGAAAAAACAAAGTTTATGATAAAACAGCAAATCCAACGCACCGTTGCACATGCCATGACAATCAGCACTTCCGAAGCAACCCTTGCACCAGACACAAAGAGGCGGTTGGTGTGCATACGTGCTGTGCGCAGGAAATGGCCACGTTCATGTTACGACGGATCAAAGGCACGACACCGCACGCCCCGAGAGGGAAGCGGGGGACCAGAACTATCGACGTTGTTTGTTCTAGCAAGCGCCCATTCTCCCCAGAAAACAATTAGGAAAAATATCGGAATGAGAGACAGAGAATAGAGTAGACATCACTCTGTCACCGACCGATGCTTGCTGCTCATGTTTTACCACAGGGAAACATAAGACATCACACCCCCTGGACAGGCTTTCACAGCTCCATTTCCCCATCGCAGAGAGTGCCATTGCCAAAAACGGCAGCGTTGGGACCTGTTTCGGCGATAACTTTCCGAAAACGCACCGTTTCATGCATGCATCCTCTTCGCCGTCAAGTACATCGAGCTTTGACCAACGGTGCACGGGGTGTGGTATCTTGTGTATCGCCTGCAACACTCTCACCATTCTCAGCAGGAGGGTAGGATGCAATGAAGTTGCGGTTCACAGTTGTGACTTCCCCTCGGACACACTGATTGTTTTCGAATAGCAGGGTCCAGCCCGCCTGCCGTGTGAGCACACAAAACGAGACCTACACCGATACGCCTGGCACACATTCTTCACGACCGTGTCTGTGGATCTTGCACCAACCTGAGCGTGCAGCTGATCTTTTGCACGCACTCCTCGTACTGTTGTAGTGGCCACGGCACGAGACCACAGAGAAAAGGCCCGCCACGACACGACTGACAAAGAGCGGTTCCTATCCTTATCCTTATCCTTAGAGACACTCTAACCCTAGGCTGAACCATGCTTCACGCAATGCCCGTTCGTGTACCCATTCCCCCAACGCCGCGCCCGAACTCTTCTCTTTTACTGTTCAGCTTGTTGCCCTTACGTACTTGTACAAGTACAACAACAAAAAATCCCGGCCGTGGGATACACGTCACCCCCAAACAACGCTGTCGCACGGCGCGGCACAACTCATGTCGAAAACCCTTCTTCGCCGCATCTACCTCTGTACCTGATAGCTGAACTGGTTGTCGATCAGTGTCTGGGTGCAGAACGATCCCAGGTACATGGACTGGTAGAACCCCACGCAGTTGTTGTCCACGTTAACCTTGAATGCAACAAAAAAAAAGGCGGCGCAGTTTCAGACACAACAAACGCGTGCAATTGTATGTACACTCTCGAGCCAGGGGTGGAGAGGAGCCGGCCAGGCGAGGCCGCAACCCAAAAGGGGACAGACAGAGAGGGAGGGAGGGGGAGAGGGAGGGGGGGTGACCGGGACCGGGACCTATAATAGATGGCCTCACAACGCGTCGAATGCACGCGGATAAAGGTGACAGCAACACGAAATCGAATCAAAACCCCAATGATCCCGCGCACAACATCTTCTTCCCTTCACTTGCTACCGTTTTCTGCCTTTAATCCGGAGAAAAGCCCACCCTCGCCCATGACGCCCTCTCACGGGGGTCGGTCCAAGACCATGGCAAAAAGAAGCGCATTCTTCTTGTCAGCCGCATTGAGACTAACGTCGTTCCATCGGTCAGTCGGTTAGCGCGCGGTCGATGCCACCAACAAAGACACACAAACACGCACACACCTCTCTCAACATCTTCATCATCTCCATCTGATAGTCCTGCCCGTCCATGTCCTCCGGCGCCGGTTGCCCGTCCGGCCCCGTTGCCGCCGTCGGCAAAGGGAACGCGTGCGTTACCTTGAATTCGACAAAGCGAGGGAGGGCGGGGTACGGAGGGGGGCGTACTCAGAGCGGGAGGGGTTGTGGAGTACACGCACGAACAAAACACGACCACATGTAAACGAAATAACGTGACCACCTGTTTTTGTTTCCAGGGGAAGATTAATCTTCATCTCTACAGCAACCACCCAACGATGCTCGACAACACTGCCAAAGGAAAACACATCCTAGAACACCAGAGCCAGACTACCGTAGAGAGCTTAACGAAGCGGTAAAGGAAGGAGTGGAGGGGAATGAATCACGCGGGGATGGGGGGGGGGGGGGGGGGGGGTAGATTTGATGCACATGGTGCACCAAAGACGGCGCGTATCTACATAACACGTCTACACGANCGTGTCCCACACACATACGGCGCCTCGTGAAAACGTCTTCCACGGCCGCCCACTGCTGCATCTCGTTAGCACACGTGGGGGAAGCGTGCTGCATGTACAATAGCACGAAGAGACCCAGCGACATTCGCCATCCTCGTCGGGGACATAAACCTCGCAGGACTAGCAAAAAAAACAAAACAAAAAATAGTTGCGAGTATATTCTCCAGATGTTTCGCCACGTGCTCTTCGTCCTTGAAAGAACACCGCCAAGACTCTTCCACCCGACGAACCGCACGCATAATTAACACGGCTGTCTGCCTCTCAACGATTCTTCACCTCAAGGACGCCCGTTTGGTCCAAGCCTAGGAGAGACCCCGCCACCATCTGCGGAAGGCTCTCCGTGCAGTGCTTGATGATTTTAAGGACGGCCTGCACATGCAACAAGACGGAGAGCGGGTGGTTGGAGGTCGAGTTAACATTGCCCGTTGAAAGGAGGTGCGTGCGATCGCTGTGAAGGCACGATCGACTTGTTAGCCTACGCTGTGCCTGGTTAAGGGGGGGGGGGCTCTAGAGAATAGGGTTGTAGGCAACATTGATTGTGCATTCTCGTCGTCTTGTTGATTGTGTGGTCCAATCAGAACTCTCTTTCTTGTCTCAAAACGGAGGAAAATGGCGGTTACAAACCGGTGGGTACACAATTGACACCATCCAACATGCCTCGAACCCTCGCTACAGGTTCCAAAAGGTCTCAGACTGTGACCGCACAACCTCTACGTAACCATAAGGGAGTAGATCGGGGGGACTAGTGAAGAGACTGGGGCCAGAACGAAGCGAATTGATCATGTGGACAGGAAAACCGATGCATCATGAAGAATACTCGAGCAGAAACACAAGTGGAGTGGAAGCACCGGGATTGCAGTCAAGACACCGCCGGCGATGAGACGGAACCAAGAGGCGACGACAACAAGCGGTCCGTCTGCACGACGGTGAAAGTCAGAATCGTGCTCACCCAAGCGGCCAGGAGATTATTTAGCAGATTGGGTACCTGGCTGCTGCTTTGTTCGGCCTAGACAAACCGAGCGCACCCCGCCGTGGGCGTCACAGCTTGGGATCAGAAGAGGTACAACCAAAGTGATTACCCGTGTCATCATTGCGGGTACGAGACCAAGTAGACGAGATCTCTTCACTAGAGCGACATCCAGATCTCTCTTTTCCCGACCATGGAGCCCTAAGAGCAAGAACGGAGCCCGCTGGATACTTGTAGGTGGTGCTTCTTCTTGCCTTGGTTTCGGGAGGCGTGACGGGCGCCGTAACTGTTGGACAATGGGCTTCGTCCACACACTACAAGCGGTAGTAGGCGGAACGCTTGATAGAGATTCTTGTAGTAGCGATGTCACTTTGATGGTACGGAATATTCCCATGGGGTGTGGTAGCGCGGGAAAGCCGGTGATTGTGTGGTATATGATAGTATGGATTAATCCAGGCTGTGCAAGGTTCCCCAGTTGTACATGACGTCGCCTCCGGAATCAGGCGAGTGCGATAATATGGTGTGATGGGGGCGTGAGGAGTTGGCTCTGGTCAATGCGGTACTCCTATGCTGCCATCACGTCTACCACGGGCACCACATTGACCAGAGCCAGCCCGACACGCCCCATCATCGCGCACCCCAAACGTTGACGCACTATGCACGCACGCAAATCCCCCCTTGAAGGGAGGTGCTCCGGCTAAAGGCGCAGGAGGCGCGCGTGGGGATGGATTGGTTACCACTGAACCGAGGGGGGGGGGGGGGGG